TATATTTATAAATTTAAAAAATATATATATAACATAATAATGTTAAATATATTACAGTACTAATTATATACACACAATCTCTTAATTATATTAATATTACATTATCTATATTTTAGCCAAAAAACATGAAAAGTCGTGAGGAAATTAAAAAAGGAGTTACAGATGGTATAACTCTTCCTGGTTTAGGTCATCAAATATTATCAAAAGAATTAGTAGATGAGACTCTCATTATATCAGATATGTATGACTTAAATGAATTTATGGCATTGGATCTTCTCTGTACGGCTCAACTTCAAATGCCACACCATCCTGGTTTAACACGTGGTTTAACAGCTGTTCTTCTATATTACGATGGAAGAAAAGCACTGACATCAGTATTAAGAACCTTGATACATACTCGAATTGGTCACAGTTGGGCAGTGGATGCACCGGTCGCTCTTACTAGACACATTACAGATTATACGAATAAGTTGCAAGAGGATGGCTTATTAAATAGAGTTTTATCCCTGCTAGAGGAAATGGATCCTACTAAGGTATTCTATCAAGAAAAAGATCTTAATAAAAAATTAACTGATATTTTACAATTTTTTGTTAGATATTTAGATTATTAAAATGTATTAATCTCAAAATAATTTTAAATAGGAACAAGATTTACTGCAACAAAATAGAGCTTTAGGTGGAGCAAAGCACCATCAGATGGTTATGAAACTTTATAATGACACACGACAAGATCTGGCTGATATCTTATACTTATGGTCTGCGCAATCGTCTCTTCCAAATATAATTCTATTTCGTTTATTATCTATATTGCAAACACGTCAAGTAGAATCTGAGGCAGGTGAAGGAGGACCTGACAAAGTTACACTTGCGCTTATTATGGCTGTTTTGAATGCTTTTAATTTTAGTTTCTTACATAGTCGTGAAAACGGTGAAGGTATATATTTTATTATCAGCCTGTCAACTTGAAACTTACTTTATAAGTAAATAATTTATTATTTTTTTCAGAATTAATCAATTCAATGCCATTAATAGCAGAGAGGGAAGCACTAGAGGAACTAAATCAAAAGTTAATATCCACTAACATAAATTGGGAGAGTGCTGGATTGCGAGGAGTGATACA